TTATTTGCAATTTTGTATCTTGCTTTTAAAATTCATTCACATTATGCTTATTTTCCTTTATTTCTTAAATTTGTCACAACCCGACATGCTGTAACACCATGAGAGCCCTGCAGTCTATTGAACTGTCAACATTGTAGCCAGTGAAATCTTTCTAAAATGGTAATCTGATTGTTACCCTACCCTTAAGACTGAATTATTTTATGCTTTGAATTTTTTGTTGAAACCATGTGTTTTCAGTAATAGAAGACATTTTGAATGAAATGCAAAAAAGTTTTTTTTGAAGTAATACAGATTTTAGGATCTCTGGTGGAAATTAGTGGGACACATGTGTCCTAAGGGGTCTCTGGTCCTAGGGCTGATGTAATGCAGCCCATTTCTTCAGATTCATAGAGTTATACAGCCCCCCATCAGATAGAAGCATGCACTAAAAGTGGGATAGCAGCTTCCTGCTAAACCACAGAGGTAGCAAAGTAGGTGGCTACTGTTTGTCCCACAATCCCATTGCTCTTAGGAGAACTTGGCCTAACAGGCACGAATTTCTGGCTCTAGCGCCTTTCCTCTCTCACATGCTCCCTGTTCTCTGTGTTCAACACCTCGGGCCTTTCTTCATTTCCTTGATTTCTTCTCGCAGGTGTCTTTCCCTCTTCCTGGAATGCGCCCTCTCCTGCTTGCTTGGTTATCTCCTATTCATTCCCCAGGTTGATCCAAGTGAGGAGTCCTCAGGGAAGCCTCCCTGCCCCTAGACCAGGCTCACTTGCCCTCACCCAGGCTCTGAGAGCAGCCTGAGATTCTCCTTCACAGCAAGCAGGCAGTGATGGTCACTCTCTGTTTATTTGTATGATTATTAGGCTTGTCCCCCCCAGACAGTGGTGGTTTAGAGAGAGAATTCTTGCCTTCTGTCCTAGTTAATTACTTGCTGCCATGGAGTCAATTCCAACTCACAGCGCTCCTAAAGGACAGAGTCAGACTGCCCCATAGGGTTTCCAAGGCTGTCAGTCTTCATGGAAGCAAAGCCCAAACCAAATCCCCTGTTGTGGAGTCAATTGTGACTCACACACCCCTAGCGGACAGAGTGGAACTGCTCCATAGGGTTTCTAAATAGGGTTTCTAAGGTTGTTATCTTGATGGAAACAGACTGCTTCAACTTTCTTGCAGAGTGGCTGGTGGGTTTGAACCTCTGACCCTTCTGTTAGCAACTGAGAGCTTTAACCACTATGGCACCAGGACTTCTTTTCCTAGTTATCTAGTGGTCCTATAATAGAAATACCACAAGTGGGTGGCCTTAATGAACAGAAATGAATTTTCTCCCAGTTTAGGAGTCTAGAAGTCTGAACTCGGGGTGCCGCCTCGAGAGTATGGCTCTGTCTGCAGTGGAGGAAGGTCCTTGTCTCTTTTCAGCTTCTGTTCCTCGGTGCCTTGGTGATCAGATGTCTCTCCCTCCGTTTGTGTTTGCTTGCTTAATTTACCCTTTTATATCTCAAAAGAGATTGACTTGAAGATGCGCCCTACGCTAATACCGTCACCTTAACATAAGAAAACACATTCCCAGGTGGAATTATAACCACAGGTATGGGGCTTAAGATTTACAGCGCGTGTTTTTGGGGGGCACAGTTCAGTCCTGGGTTGATTTCTGGCCATTGCATCTCAAGCACAGCCATCACCCGCTTGCAGCCTCCATGACGGCTTCTGTGTTGCCGTGACGTTGAGCAGGTTTCCGTGGAGCTTTCAGACTAAGACAGACTCGGAAGAAAGGCCTGGAGCTCTCCTTCTGAAATCCAGCCCCTGAAAGCTCTGAGGCATGGGGTCCCCATGATCAGGGGCTGACTCGATGGTGGAACACCACCCTCCCACTAGCAGGTGAGCTCCGTGAGAGCCGGGCCTGTGCTGGGCTTTGTTTCCTGTGCCACTGCTAGTGCCTGGCATA